CCTATCCAGTTTGCGTTTGATCCATTTCTGCAGTGCTTTTTGCGGTGCGTTTTGTATTTTTGTACCTGTGTTATTGACGCATTTTTGATGCGGTTTACGGGGGTTTTTTTTACTTGTTGCTGGGCAGAATAAAACGCAAACTGCATCATAAACATGTCAAAAACACACTACATGCTTTTCTGCAGGGCCTCCATTCGAGTCTACAGAACCAAAAACACAACGTTTTGTGTTTAAAAAAGTCCCTGACCCTTTCTAAAAAACGCACCAGGTGAAAACATGGAGATGTGAACCTGTCCCATAGGTAATCATGTTAAATGGACTGCTGTGCGTTTCTGCAAAACGCAGCAGGAAACGCATAGATGTGAACCTAGACTAAGTCTGGGTTCACACTGATGCGGTGCGGAATTTGCACCGGTTTCTGTGCGAATTCCACACTGCATCACAATGGCACCCATGCGAACTGCTGTGGGTGTGTATGGTAAGTTAACAACACCCCAAAATTGGTTCGCAATGTACAGAATCAGATCGCATGGGTGTGATCCAATTTTAGTGCGGACCAAAAAAGGGTCCTGCACCTTTTTGGCGCAGATGCGGTGCGATTTGAACCATACAAAATGTATGGCTCGAATCGCACCGCACAGAAGTCGCATGTGATTTGCACAGGAATGTGGTCCGGTTCCTGTGCCAATCACATGCGATATGCCGCACCGCAGAAGTGTGAACCCAGGCTGAAGGAAGGTTTAGGCTAGGTTCACACCTATGTGTTTTCTGCTATGTTTTGTAGAAACGCACAGCAGTCCATTTAACATGATATCCTATGGGACAAGTTCACATCTCCGTGTTTTCACCCGGTGTGACTTTTTTTAAATGCATAGTGCTGCATTTTTGGTTCTATAGACTTCAATGGAGACACAGCAGAAAAGCATGTAGTGCGTTTTTGAAGCATTTTTAGGCATTTTATTCTGCCCAGCAACAAGTTGAAAAAAACCTGCAATACGCATGTGCAAAAACGCAAAATGCACCGCAAAAAGCACTGCAGAAACAGATCAAACGCAAACTGCATAGGTGTGAACCTAGCTTTAGAGGAAGGGAGTCTATTTATAGAACAATTGCTGTATGAATGTCCCAGCATTATGCTAAAGTCACAAATAATACATACAGTCAGGTCCATAAATATTGGGACATCAACACAATTCTAACATTTTTGGCTCTATACACCACCACAATGGATTTGAAATGAAACAAACAAGATGTGCTTTAACTGCAGACTGTCAGCTTTAATTTGAGGGTATTTACATCCAAATCAGGTGAACGGTGTAGGAATTACAACAGTTTGCATATGTGCCTCCCACGTCTTAAGGGACCAAAAGTAATGGGACAATTGTCTTCTCAGCTGTTCCATGGCCAGGTGTGTGTTATTACCTCATTATCCCAATTACAATGAGCAGATAAAAGGTCCAGAGTTCATTTCAAGTGTGCTATTTGCATTTGGAATCTGTTGCTGTCAACTCTCAAGATGAGATCCAAAGAGCTGTCACTATCAGTGAAGCAAGCCATCATTAGGCTGAAAAAACAAAACAAACCCATCAGAGAGATAGCAAAAACATTAGGCGTGGCCAAAACAACTGTTTGGAAAATTCTTAAAAAGAAGGAATGCACCGGTGAGCTCAGCAAGACCAAAAGCCCCGGAAGACGACGGAAAACAACTGTGGTGGATGACTGAAGTATTCTTTCCCTGGTGAAGAAAACACCCTTCACAACAGTTGGCCAGATCAAGAACACTCTCCAGGAGGTAGGTGTATGTGTGTCAAAGTCAACAATCAAGAAAAGACTTCACCAGAGTGAATACAGAGGGTTCACCCACAAGATGGAAACAACTGGTGAGCCTCAAAAACAGGAAGGCCAGATTAGAGTTTTGCCAAACAACATCTAAAAAAGCCTTCACAGTTCTGGAACAACATCCTATGGACAGATGAGACCAAGATCAACTTGTACCAGAGTGATGGGAAGAGAAGAGTATGGAGAAGGAAAGGAACTGCTCATGATCCTAAGCATACCACTTCATCAGTGAAGCATGGTGGTGGTAGTGTCATGGCGTGGGCATGTATGGCTGCTAATGGAACTGGTTCTCTTGTATTATTGATGATGTGACTGCTGACAAAAGCAGCCGGATGAATTCTGAAGTGTTTCGGGCAATATTATCTGCTCATATTCAGCCAAATGCTTCACAACTCATTGGACGCCGCTTCACAGTGCAGATGGACAATGACCCAAAGCATACTGCAAAAGCAACCAAAGAGTTTTTTAAGGGAAAGAAGTGGAATGTTATGCAATGGCCAAGTCCATCACCTGACCTGAATCCAATTGAGCATGCATTTCACTTGCCGAAGACAAAACTGAAGGCGAAATGCCCCAAGAACAAGCAGGAACTGAAGACAGTTGCAGTAGAGGCCTGGCAGAGCATCACCAGGGATGAAACCCAGCGTCTGGTGATGTCTATGTGTTCCAGACTTCAGGCTGTAATTCACTGCAAAGGATTTGCAACCAAGTATTAAAAAGTGAAAGTTTGATTTATGATTATTATTCTGTCCCATTACTTTTGGTCCCCTAAGAAGTGGGAGGCACATATGCAAACTGTTGTAATTCCTACACCGTTCACCTGATTTGGATGTAAATACCCTCAAATTAAAGCTGACAGTCTGCAGTTAAAGCACATCTTGTTCTTTTCATTTCAAATCCATTGTGGTGGTGTAAAGAGCCAAAAATGTTAGAATTGTGTTGATGTCCCAATATTTATGGACCTGACTGTATAATGTTTGTAGTATGTGTAACATGTCAATTTCAATTTGTTATCTTTTGTAGGACAAATGTAACATTCCTTAACACACGATCCCAAGAGAAAACTAGCCTTAAGAACAATCGACCTATAGAGAAAATAACCTGACACTATAGGCTATAAACGTTTGATCACAAGAGGCAATAATACAGGGAATAAAACATGTCTGTCTCTGCAACAATGTATCAATTCTGGATAGCAGTTCACTCTAGAAAGCAGTGGATTCATGACAGTGTCAGTGGTGAGAACAGGAATGTCCATACACTTTGTACACAGTGTAGTGGTCTCAAATTTTATCCCCTTCTGGTCAAATGTTCTTAGCCTACAGTGTCAGGCTATTTTCATTATTGGTTTAGGGAATGCTGTATTCACCCTGTGTAAGGCAACAAACAGAAACTGACAGTTCACACATATAACAAACATTACCAGTATTATTTGTGAGTTTTGTGGAAATGTTGAGACATTGGTACAGCAATTTGTTTATCATTAGATCCCAAAGTTTTGGCTTTCTGAGTATATTCTGTTTTATGTTATTGAAGTGATCCTTTAGATGTATGTGTGTCTATGAGACTGTCACTTATAGCACAGTAATTAATGTAGATCCAAGGACTGTGTACACTGTCCATCTTTGGGGAAGTCACGTAACTGGTGATGCAACGCGTTGGACGGAGCCAGGTTATGTCACTTCCGGTCGCAGCTGAGACCTGAAGGCTGGTTGCTTCTCTCCATGCGTGTATACACTCCACAGGGGTTTTATATTCATGTGAGTGGTAATCTTTTAATTATAAAGCATTTTATTAGACATCCTATGCTTTGGGCAGTTCTTCTCTATTTTTATAAGTACCGCTGTCTGTGGTTGAAGATCCAGAGAAATATTTAAAGGGATCTGTGATTTAGTCAAGGACTGAATCGTCCAGTGCTTATCTGTTCCTGTCCTAATTTATCATTCTAGCTTTGGAATGTGCGCACACTGGAAGAGACTCACGCTGACACACAAGTTCAGTCTATGAACACTTCTAGTTTATTATAATGAGAAAGTGAGCTTATATATGCAGAATGATGCGAGAGTCATGTGACAACAGCATAAGCATTATATTAGTCTTTGATTGGTCATTTCCACACGAAAACAATCTCCGTCATGGTATAGGTGTGATCTTCTTCCAGGTCTTATCTATAGAAAGAAAAACATTCCTTTTGTCTTCCAAATCACATGGTGGGAGGGGGTCGGTGCGTGTGAGCAAACATTTCTTAAGCAAGGATTTCTTGAAGTACCACAAAGCCCAGCAGGCAGAAAATATTCACACAACATATATATTCATGCTAAACATTTATAAATATGAAGAAAGAGATAGTATTAAAGTATAAAACTAAATATGTATAAAAATATATATAAAGAAAAGTGTATATATATATATTCAATAGGAAACGAAATAGGCAATTTACCAAATCCATCACACCTGCAACACGAGTGGAATTCCACCTGGGGGCTTAAATTCAAACATTATTGACCTGTATGAGAATATAGGTCCACTATTAAGGTGAGCAGCCCATTTTGCACAGAGGTGGAGCACAGCCAAATTGTGTGAATACTACATTGAAGGTGGATTGGTGCACATTTGATCACAAACTCACCTGGGACTTGTGAATAGTGTGGATCAAGGGATACTAATACAATTGGACTGTTATTACAGTTTTTATTAAAATGTAGATCAATGACAAAACTAATAATATTGGTAACACTGAGATTGTGGTTGCAATACTTATATAGTTGGTCAATAATGTATTTACAATACTGTAATTTGATTATTACCTTAGGTTATTTGGCTGATAGTGGGATTACAGCGAAGTGTCTATATTTGTAGCACTGAGATTGTGATCTTAATATCCTCACCTAGATGCATTAACCACTTGCCTATCAGGCACTTTTACCACCTTCCTGCCCAGGCTAATTTTCAGCTTTCAGCGCTGTTGAACTTTGTATGACAATTGCGTGGTCATGCAACATTGTACCCATATGAAATTTGTATAATTTTTTTCACACAAACAGAGCTTTCTTTTGGTGGTATTTAATCGCCACCGAGGTTTTTATTTTTTGTACTATAAACAAAAAAAAAGAGCAAAAAATTTGAAAAAAAAATTTAGCAAATAGGTAATTTTTCTCCTTCAATGATGTGTGTTGATGAGGCTGCACTGATAAGCAGCACTGATGGGCATTGATATGCAGCACTGATGGGCACTGATGAGGTGGCATGGATAGGCAGCACTGATGGGCACTGATAGGCTGCACCGATGAGGCGGCATTGGTGGGCATTGATGAGGAGTCACTGTTGATGCTGCAGTGCTATGCAGCAATGATGGGCATTGATGGGTGGCACTGATGGGCACAGGTGGGTGGCACTGCTGGCTGACACTGCTGGGCACTGATCATCAGGCATTTGCTGGCTATTGGCGGTACTTTCCTCACGCTGTGACCGTGAGGAAAGTGCTACCGATAACCAGTAACTGTATTTACCATATTTTTTGCTCCATAAGACGCACCTGACAATAAGACGCACCTAGGTTTTAGAGGAGGAAAACAAGAAAAAAAAATTCTGAACCAATGGACTGCAGACATAGTACAGGAGATGACCAGAGACTGGGGACATAGTACAGGAGATGACCAGAGACTGCAGACATAGTACAGGAGATGACCAGAGACTGCAGAGATAGTACAGGGGATGACCAGAGGCTGCGGACATAGTACAGGGGATGACCAGAGGCTGCGGACATGGTACAGGGGATGACCAGAGGCTGCGGACATAGTACAGGGGATGACCAGAGACTGCGGACATAGTACAGGGGATGACCAGAGGCTGCGGACATAGTACAGGGGATGACCAGAGGCTGCGGACATAGTACAGGGGAAGACCAGAGGCTGCGGACATAGTGCAGAGGATGACCAGAGACTGCGGACATAGTACAGGGGATGACCAGTGGCTGCGGACCTTTGGGAAGCAGAAGGGGGGGGAGCGGGTACACAAATTTGACAGGTACCCGCTCCCAATTCCACAGAGTTGTCCTCCCTCCCTGTCTACTGGGACACATGACAGGTCCCAGAAGACTGCTGGATCATTCATTAAGCGTAGCGTTTCTCGCGCATGCGCAGTGGGCACCCGACTGTGAAGCTGCAAGCTGTCACAGCCAGGTTCCCACACTAAAGATGCTGGTGCTAGGGAGAGAAGACAGTGAGGACACCGTTGGACCGAGGAACAGGTAGGACTGAGGAGCAGGTTCTGCTGCACAGAAGAGTCGAGTGGCCAGCCCAGTATTCTAACACGGCAGCGGCGGGAATACCGGATACTCCTGATGAAGTCACATGTCATGACATAACGTGTAGGGTACGCCGATGACATCAAGCCATAGAACCGGAAGTGTACGTACCGCCATCTTGAATAAGGGATCCATGCCATTCATTCACAAAAATTAATATACAAAGAATCCTTGATCTTGTAGTGTCCCAGGCGGACACAAATAAATGTGAGTGGAATATTTTAAAGTGTTTTAATAAAGCATATACATTTTTGATATACTTCACTATTTGGAGCATTTTTTCATTTATCTGTGGTGCGTTTTGGAGTTTGGAGAAGTTGGAGATTTGTATACCAACATACCCGCCCCGGGTTAAAAGGGAAAGGCGCGGTTTGACCTGACGGTTCGGGTCAATCCACAAGGTGAGCGCATAAGTGTGTTGGAGGTGGATTAAGCACTGGGGGTCACATGGAATCACTGGATGAATGTACCCAGTGGAGTGATTGCACACAAACACCTGGAGCACTGAAGTCTTAAAAGGACGGTTCACCAAGGATTGTGATATCATATTATTGGGACACTGGTTGTAGATATTAGACAAACAGTGGATATGTTGTAAATAACGCATGGATAATACGGGAAGTATTATGGGAATGGTGCATCATTGATAATATGTTATTTTGATACGTTATGTATATGGAGCACGGTTTATGCACAGATATGGTTATTTAATCATATCACACTGTCACACAGCAAGATTTATGTTTATTTATTCATCATTTACAGTTGATTTCAAAATAATAGAAGTCAGACATCACTAACCTGATCAATCACTGTTTTTGGTAGAAATGATATTTCTACATGGCAAATAATTTACTAGCAGGTGTAGTAGAGTAATAGAAATCCAACAGACCCCACAGTCATGACATGCATGCTGCTGATTCTGTGTAATTGAATCACTAATTGAAAGGGGCATGTTCAAAATAATAGCAGTGTGGAGTTCTATTAGTGAGGTCATTCATTCTTTGAAAAACAGGTTGCAATTATTGCCCTTATTTAAGGAAAGAAGGCAGCAAATGTTGTACATGCTGGTTACAGTGCATTTCTCTCTGAAATTCTGAGGAAAATGGGTCGTTCCAGACATTGTTCAGAAGAACAGCGTACCTTGATTAAAAAGTTGATTGGAGAGGGGAAAATATATAAATAAGTGCAGAAAATAATAGGCTGCTCAGCTAAAATGATCGCAAATGCTTTAAAATGGCAACCAAAGCCTGAAAGATGTGGAAGAAAGCGAAAAACTACCATTCGAATGGATAGAAGAATAGCCAAAATGGCAAGGACTCAGCCAACTATCAGCTCCAGGAAGATCAAAGAAGGTGTAAAGTTCCCTGTGAGTACTGTTACAATTAGAAGATGCCTATGTGAAGCCAAGCTATCTGCAAGAAGCCCCCGCAAAGTCCCACTGTTGAAAAAAAGACATGTACTGAAGAGGTTACAATTTGCCAAAGAGCACATTGAAAGGCCTAAAGAGAAATGGCGCAACATTTTGTGGACTGATGAAAGTAAGATTGTTCTTTTTGGGTCTAGTGGCCGGAGACAGTTTGTCAGACGACCCCCAAACACTGAATTCAAGCCACAGTACACTGTGAAGACAGTGAAGCATGGTTGCGCAAGCATCATGATATGGGGATGTTTCTCATACTACGGTGTTGGGCCTATTTATCGCATACCAGGGATCATGGATCAGTTTGAATACATCAGAATACTTGAAGAGGTCATGCTGCCTAATGCTGAAGAGGAAATGCCCTTGAAATGGATGTTCCAACAAGACAACGACCCCAAACACACCAGTAAACGTGCAACATCTTGGTTCCAGACCAACAAGATTGACGTTGTGGAGTGGCCAGCCCAATCCCTGGATCTTAATCCAATAGAAAACTTGTGGGGTGACATCAAAAATGCCGTTTCTGAGGCAAAACCAAGAAATAGAGAAGAACTGTGGAATGTACAGGTGAAACTCGAAAAATTAGAATATCGTTCATTTATTTCAGTAATGCAGCTTAAAAGGTGAAATTAATATATGAGATAGACCCATTACATACAAAGCAAGATAGTTCAAGCCATAATTTGTCATAATTGTGATGATTATGGCTTACAGCTCATGAAAACTCCAAATCCACAATTTCAGAAAATGAGAATATTACATGCAATCAATAAAACAAGGATTGTACATAGAACAATATCGGACCTCTGAAAAGTATAAGCATGCATATGTACTCAGTACTTGGTTTGGGCCCATTTTGCAGCAATTACTGCCTCAATGCGGCGTGGCATGGAAGCTATCAGCCTGTGGCACTGCTGAGGTGTTATGTAAGACCAGGATACTTCAATAGCGGCCTTCAGCTCTTCTGCATTGTTTGGTCTCATGTCTCTCATCTTTCTCTTGGCAATGCCCCATAGACTCTCTATGGGGTTCAGGTCAGGCGAGTTTGCTGGCCAATCAAGCACTGTAATCCCACGGTCATTGAACCAGGTTTTGGTGCTTTTGGCAGTGTGGGCAGGTGCCAAGTCCTGCTGGAAAATGAAGTCAGCATCCCCATACAGCTTGTCTGCAGAAGGAAGCCCATGTCCAGGAACCGTCTGTGTGTGGTGGCTCTTGATGCACTGACTCCAGCCTCAGTCCACTCCTTGTGAAAAGTTCCCAACACTTTAGAATGGCCTTTTCCTGACAATCCTCCCCAAGCTGCGGTCATCCCTGCTGCTTGTGCACCTTTTTCTTCCACACTTTTCCCTTCAACACAACTTTCTATTAATGTGCTTTGATACAGCACTTTGCGAACATCCAACGTCTTTTGCAATTACCTTTTGAGGCTTTCCCTCCTTATGGAGGGTGTCAATGATGGTTTTCTGCACAACTGTCAGGTCAGCAGTCTTTCCCATGATTGTGATTCCTACTGAACCAGACTGAGAGACCATTTAAAGGCTCAGGAACCCTTTGCAGGTATTATGGCTTAATTAGCTGATTAGAGTGGGACACTTTGAGCCTAGAATATTGCACCTTTTCACAATATTCTCATTTTCTGAGGTTGTGGATTTGGGGTTTTCATGAGCTGTAAGCTATAATCACCACAATTATGACAAATCACGGCTTGAACTATCTTGCTTTGCATGTAATGAATCTATTTCATATATTAGTTTCACCTTTTAAGTTGTATTACTGAAATAAATGAACTTTTGCACGATATTCTAATTTTTCGACTTTCACCTGTAGTCCAATCATCCTGGAATACCTGCTCACAGGTGCCAGAAGTTGGTTGACTCCATGCAACACAGATGTACAGCAGTTCTCAGAAACAGTGCTTATACAACTAAATATTAATTAAGTGATTCAAAGGAAAGCAAAATCTTCAAACATTTTTCAGTTTATATATGAATGTTTGAGTTTGTAAAGAAGAATACAAACACTGCTATTTTTTGAACAGTCTAATATTCAGTTTTCTTTCAATTCAATTTTTTTAGAGGAACAACACAAATTTGATATATTTTTCTTCATGTTTTGATTTGGAATAGAATGTGTAGTGTTCCCAATGCATCCTATTAGAGGGATTTTGAGCTTTATTCACTTTTTTCAACACAAAGCTATTATTTTGAACACAACTATATATATTTAGCTATATTTGCGAATATAGTATTGCGCTGCATTGTTTTGTACAATACCGGGCCAGCCGCTCTATATTCACTCCATATAAGAAGCACAGACATTTTCCCCCATCTTTGTGGGGGAAAAAAGTGTGTGTTATGGAGTGAAAAAACGGTGCTTGGTGCTCTGCTGTGTCATTGGACTCAGCTGATCACATGGTAAAAGTGATTGGCCTTTTACCTCATCATGTGATCAGCTGTATCCGTAGGACACAGCAATCACAGAGAGCGCTGGGTGCGCGCAGGAGGGCACGTTCTGGGAGGACGTCATGTGACACCCTCCCAGAACTGGACAACCACGCTGTAGCCGTCCTTCGGCTATAGTGCGGTTGTAAAATGGTTAATGTAATGCACATTAGGTTTGTGGTGTTTATTTTGTTTTATGTTTGCAGCACTGGAGGTATGGATTCATGAACCAATATTATTTAAACACGTAAAAATGAGTGGAGAGTATTACTATTTTTTTTAGCTCGCTTAATGCAAGACACATACACATAGATTGTTCTAATATTGTTTTTTTGTTTTTTGTTTTTTAGAGGTTGCCCTACACCATTTATGTTTTCATTTCTCTCAAGGACTGTGTACAGTTTTTACAATAAGTAGGTTTAGACTGTATTTCACCATGCCTTTTTAACCAATTCACCTCTGAACCTTCATGACCAGGCCATCTTTTGCCATTCTGAGCTCTGCTACTTTTACTGGCAATTGATCGATCATGCAACACTGTACCCAGTTGAAATTTATATATTTTTTTCACACAATTAGAGCTTACTTTTGGTGGTATTTAATCACCACTGAGGTTTATTTTTTTTGTTATATAAACCTAAAATTCCAAAATGAAAAAAAACTACTTTTTTCATAGTTTCTGTTATAACATTTTGCAAGCAAATAGTCTTTCTTCATAAATTTAGGCCAACATGTAGTCTGCTACATTTCTTTGGTAAAAATAACCCAAAATCAGTGTATATTATTTAGTCTTAGTGAAAGTTATAGAAAGTTTTAGAATCAAACAAGCAAACTATGGTATATTGAAAATGGATCAATTTGGATGTAATGACTTCCTCATTTCTTGAGGCCTAAAATGTCAGGACAGTACAATTACCCCCAAAATTACCCCTTTTTTGGAAAGTAGACAGTCCAAGGTATTTAGTAGAGGCATGGCAAGTTTTTTTGAATTTGTAACTTTTTGTCACAATTTTTTGGAAAATGAAAGAAATTAAATAAAACGTGTTTTTTGTTTCAGTTTTTTTTTTTTACATATTGTTACCAGCATTAGATTCTGATTGGGGACAGTATGTAATTGAATGTAAATG